ATCCCTTCGGGGGTTAAAAAAAAAAAAGAGCCCGGGAGCTCAGCAAGAACATGAAGAAGAAAGTCAAGGAGAAGAAGGAAGAGTCATTCTCCCTTCTGAGCCTCCTCAGTTCTACAGTACAAACCTGAAGACGTCGACCAAGACAACGCTCTGGTCCACTGGAGCTAAAGAATCGTTTTGAGGAGCCTGAGAGGGTGACAGGGACGAGAGTAGAAGGAGAGCCACAAAGACCTGGAAAAGGGAGTGAAGAGGGCATGGAGCCACACGGAAGTGGAAGGAAATGGAAAGTGGTGATGGTCAGGGATTCTCTGCTCAGGGGTATGGAACGTAATGTGTTCAGGCCGGATCCCCTACTCCAAGAGATGTGTTGTTTACCTGGGGCCAGAATTCAGGATATTACAGACCAACTGCCAAAACTGATAAGACCTACTGATCAGTACCTGTTTCTGCTGGTTCATGTGGGGACGAATGACACGGCTGTGAATACCATCATGAAAATTAAAGAGGACTATGAAGCTCTTGGAAGGCAGTTGAAGGCATTGGGGGCACAGGTGGTATTCTATTTTATCCTTCCAGTCATAGGAAGAGAAGTGCAAAGAGAACAGACCATACTCGAGGTGAATTGTTGGCTGAAATGGTGGTGCTGGCAGGAGCGCTTTGGTTTCGGGGCCATGGGATAAGTTTTCTTAGAGAAGGCCTTCAAGCAGATGATGGGCTTCATCTCTCAAGGTCAGGGAAGAAAACATTCAGAAAGAACCTGGAGAGCTTAATCAGGAGAGCTTTACACTGAAGCTGCAATGGGAAGGGGACGATCAACATGGGGACTTCAATGAAGAAAACAGTGGGGGCTACCTGGGTAGGACTGGTCAAACAAAGGTACAAGGCTGCAAGTGCCTATATACCAATGCCATAGTATGGGTAATAAGAAGGACGAGCTTGAGATTATCTTGCAAACAGAGGGCTCTGATATAATAGGAATCATTGAGACTCATGACTGGGATGTGGTAGTGTTGTTCAAGAAAAACCGGAAGTGTAGAAGAGGAGGCGGAGTGGCGCTGTATGTGAAGAGAGGGCTACAATGTCAGGAAGTTCTGGAGAATGTAGTTGACAGCCCTGTGGAATGTATATGGATGGAAATAAGGGGAGGTAGGACAAAGGGTATTGTTGCTGGAGTCTGCTACAGACCGCCTGACCAGGGACAGGAAATGGATGCTGCCCTCCTTGAACAGATTGGTAGAGTATCAAGACATCAGAACCTTATTATTATGGGAGACTTCAACTTCCCCAATGTGTGCTGGGAGACAGGCTCAACAAAGCGAAAAGAATCACGCAACTTCCTGACCTATCTGGCCGACAACTTCCTTTTTCAAATGGTGGAGGAAGCTACAAGGGGCTTGGCCATACTAGACTTAATATTAACCAACAGGGAAGAATTGGTAGATGGGCTGAAGGTGGTGGGGACCTTAGGGGGAAGTGACCATATCCTCCTTGAATTCCAGTTGCTGTGGGAGGTCAAGGAAGTTCATAGCCAGACTTGTAGATTAGATTTTATTAGGGCCGACTTCAACGAAATCAGAGGCTTGATGGGAGTCATTCCATGGGGGAATGTGCTGGAAGGGAAAGGAGCGAGTGAAAGGTGGACTCTTCTCAAACATGAGCTTATGCGAGCTCAAGCCCTCACTATTCCAACAAGATGGAAACATGGTAAGGGCTCCAAGAAACCGATGTGGATTAACCGAGAGCTCCAGAATAAACTAAAGGAGAAAAAGGAAATATTCAGGAAATGGAGGGAAGGCCATATCTCTAAAGAGGAGTATATGAGAGTTACTAGGTACTGCAGATCAGCCATCCGAGAAACCAAAGCTCAGTATGAGTTGGGTCTGGCCAGGGGGGCTCACTACAATAAGAAAAATTTCTACAGATATATGAGAAGCAAACACAAGGTAAAAGAGGCAATTGGACCGCTTTTGAGAGTAGAAGGAGGAACTCTGGTGGAGGACAGAGAAAAAGCAGACAGGCTTAATGACTTCTTTGCCTCTGTTTTCTCCCAGAAGAACTTGAGCCCATGTAGAGATGGTATAGGACACAACAGGACACCTGAGTGTCCAGTTGACATTGACAGGGAGGTTGTGGAGAG